GTCTCCCTCCGTGCGCTCTCTGGGGACGGCTGCTTCTCCCCTTCTCCCCCCGCCCCGCTGCGTGAAGGAAAAGAAGAAAAAGGGAGAGGGAGGGCAGAGCAGCTTTTTAACAGGGGGAGAAGTATGAGCTGCTCCTCTGCGTCTGCACGGACAGCATCTAATCGTGTTGCCACGTGTGTGCCATTTAAAAAGGGCGTCTTCGCTTGGAGCATAAGCTTTCCCCTGAGTATTTCAGGGATTTCAGCACTACCGTAACCCCTCAAGTTATTCTTCTGCTCTTTGGTGGTTACGTGCATCAGGGTATCCCGCCATTATTTATGAGGTATTTGGTAGCAGCAGTCATGAAAACTGAAAATATCGATCTTGTGCAAATCCTTGTGGACGCTTACCGTCACGCTGGAGCAACCAGGGCATCTTAAATTGTGGAGGCTCTAATCTTTTAATTTCTGTGTTACTACTTAGTTAAAAATTTATAGCTAAAAATGTTAAAAGCGAGCAAAAAATGTGGATCTGGACAGGGTACTCAAAACAGACGTGTAGAGAACACACACAGAAATCCCCATAAGTCTGATTGTTTCATTCACTGTATTCAGAGTAACACATACTCTTTTTTTTTTTCACCCTCTCTTAATTTAGGCAAAGGAGGTAAAAATAGGCGAAGAGGTAAGAATGAGAATGAATCAGAAAAAAGAGAACTTGTGTTCAAGGAAGATGGGCAAGGTGAGTTTTTAACTGTAGTATGGCAATGCCGTTGTTTTCGGTCAGATACTGTAAGTGACATACATTGTTAGTGGATATGCAAAGAAAACATCTGGATGTTTGAGAAATACAAAGTTATTGTGGAATAAAGGGAGGTATTCTTATTGGGCTTGTGTTTGAATCCTAAATGACGTATAGAGCATAGCAGGAAGACATTAGCAAAAGGGAAATTTAAAATAGCTTCACCACTTAAGAAGGAAGCTTGCCTATCCCTGACCTTATTGTGATACTCTGTGTAATACAGTACGTGTGTAAACATTCCCTAGAAATCCCTTGAATAGCTCTGCACGAGGGTCTGTAAGCAGCTAGCTAGGCTGGTGTAGTTCGGTGTCGCCAGTAGTTGGTTGTTGTCTCCTGGATGCACGGTCCGGCTTTCTGTTTTATACCAGCTGTAACATTTCATGGATCTTCTGATGAGCTGGCAGAACAGCACATCTTGCCGTTCTTCCGCTGCCCCCTGATGGTTTGGTTGAATTGGCTCCTGGGTTGGGACATCTTAACAATTATTAAAACAGGAGCAAGACGTAGGTCCTTACTTGGCTGTTGTCAGGTGAGGAAAGTCGCGGAAGTGTTCAGCTGGAGGGTGATGACTAGGATTCCCTTCTCCCCTGCCTTTTGGTGACAGTGAGCTCACCTTCCTTCTGGCTTACCCTGTCTTGTGTGCCACACCCTTGCGGTTGCTCACATATATGCGAGTACTTGCCTAGTGACCAGTTAATCAGTTGGTTTATTAGAAATACAGGAAAAATACTGACTTAAATCGCTGTAAAAGAAGTGACCACTGAACTCATTTTTTTAAGCTCTTTCTGATGTTTTGTGACAGTTGTAAGCAGAAAAGGACTTGATTTTGCACCTATAAAACTTAAAATCCTTTTGAACTCCCAAGCAAAATCTACTTAATGAAACTTTGTTCTCAGTTAGTAATGTCTCCTGTGCTTTGTTGGAGTATCTTAATTTGCATGAAGGAAAGGTTTTAGAGTACTAGAATACAGCTCCATGTAATTGAAGATTTTTTTTTTCCTGGCAAATATGGGTGGTCAGATAATGTTAGAAGCTTTATAATAATAGTGTTAGAATTCTTACAAGATTTATTCTTTTTAGTTAAATGGTAATACACTATGCTGCAGACTTTAATAGGGTGTGCGTGAAGCACTTCAGTACTGATTTCTGGTACTTGGTGCGGGAAGGAGATTAAATGCAAGGTGAGAGATTGAGAGTGGGTGTTGGAGAAAGGCTTCATAGTTTTTAGCTGAAGCCTGATACTTGCTTTTCAGACAGTTTCTGAGAACACCAGAACGTGTCCTTTCAAGAACAGCATTTTTTTTCCACGGAGCCTCTGCAGAAGGGATTTGGCGGATCAGTGGGGTACACGGGATGTGCCGCTTTCTCCTCTTCCCTCAATAATAGCACAAGGTTTTGTCGGTTAGGACAGGCGCTGTGATGCTGTCGTAAACTTTCGAACTCTGAACGCGACTTGATAGCTCTAAAAATTACTTGTAGTAAGTATTTCAGAGGGAACAAAAGCACGGATACAACCAAGAATGAGCAGTGTTTGGAAATGTTATCATCAACAATGATATGAAAGCTGTGGTACGTTCAGCAGCCTCGGTGGCTGACCAAAGCTCCTCTCAGCTGTTCACGTTTGATGAAATGTTACAGCACATTTTGGTTACAGTGGCAAAAGTTGTTGGTTGTTTTATGAAGCTGTATTTGTGAAGTTTTGCTGTATTTTACTGTCTTTTTCAGAATACGCCCAGGTGATCAAGATGTTAGGCAATGGAAGACTGGAGGCATTATGTTTTGATGGTGTGAAGAGGTTATGTCATATTAGAGGGAAGCTAAGAAAAAAGGTAACTCTGAAGCATTGCAATAGAGCACAGTGGCATTATGCGTGATATGTAATTGTAAAAATTGACGTATGTAGCTCGTTACCAAAGTTAGTATTTCTGCTGTACTTAACATCTTGAACTTCTTTTTTGATAGTTCTTCCGTTTGTATTGCCGACACAAAAATCGGCAGTCTTTGGCTTTTGAGTGAAGCTCATAGTTGAAAGGCTGCCTTTGGATTTGGGTGTTTCAGGGAAGATCTTTTTTTGGCTGTTTCTGAAATACTAATTTTTCATGTTCTAGAAACTTACATGTATATGAAATATTAAAAAGCTCCCTAATTGTAGATGGGGAACTTGATGACTACTTGGAAAATCAGCATGTTGTACCTGGGACTAGATGAGTACTCAGCTTAGGAGGAGAACTTCTATTAACATGAAGACTGACACCCGGCGCTTAGGAAAATAAAGGTGTAAGAGAGTTGTCCAAAACCACCCTTTTTTGTATGCTATTTCCTAAAACCACAAGCATCAGGGTTTGTCACCCCACATCGTTTGATCTGGGGAAGAACTGAATAATTATCATCTCACGGGGTGACGTATCTGAGAACAGCTCAATGAGGGAGGCTTGTGAAGGTTTCTTTATAGCTTCCTGCAGGCACGTCAGATCCCATCGGTTCATTGACCACTCCATCAGTCCTCGAATCAGGGGGACTCCATCCATTGTCCACTCCATCAGTCAGCTTCTGTGCAAAGCTGAGCTGCAAAAGTTTCAGGGAAGGCAGGTGTGTGTGTTTGCATCCTTAACTTTGCCACCTTTGAGTGGTGTGCCCTCTTGTCCTTGTGCAGTGTTACAGCTTCCTAACCTCTCTGTATGGGACAGAGGAGGTCCTCTCAGTCTCTTCCCGATAACACCAGATGTTCACTCTGTTCGCTCTGGATCGCTCTACCTGCCTGATTTGGGGGACCGTTGAATGCGCGTATCTTGGTGGCAGCGGGAGCCCTGCTAGCTGCCTGCAATAAACTCGAAGATAGTGGAGAATGTACGCAGATACATAGTAGGTGCTGCAGAATTTCTTGCTACAGAAAGCATCGCTTACCTATTCCTCATGTCTAAAAGAAGCAAAGTCTCAACTGAAATCTATTTCATCTCCAAAAAAAATCGAGCTGATGCCGGATAGAACTATCTTGTGCGTTTAAATCAGCATGTCCTGTTTTGCAGGCTTCTGGCTTTGGTTCAACTGATCAGCACAGTCAGTTACTAGAAACAGCTTCATTTTCTTGTGCTCTTCGCTGTGCTTGTCCATCAGCCTTTCATCAGGTTTTTCTTTCATTTTTGCTCTCATAGAGCTCAGTTCAGAGTGGGCTTGCTGCATTATTTCTGTTTTCCCAGTAATTACGACCTAACCACCTTGTTGGCTAGAAGCTCTTCAAAGAAGGTTGATTTACCTTAGTAATAGCTCTGTAACATGTGAAATAATGTATCAGTGCGTGTTTATGACCTTGGTTTTGCTGTTAAAATACAAAATTGGGGATTTCCGGTTTACTGGTTAGAAAATGAAAGTGATGGCTGTAACGAAATGTTTCATGTCTCTCAGTAAACCCAAGTGTGCTGTTTGACTCTTGTGTTATACAACCACAGTTGAATTCCTGCAATATAACATATGTTTTCTCTTTCAGGTTTGGATAAATACGTCTGATATTATATTGGTTGGCTTAAGAGACTACCAGGTAAAAATTCAGTCTGATTTGCCGATGGAGAATATCTTACAAACAGCTTTGTTTAATGTTTAATTGCAGCAGGTAGCACGAGGAAATTCCCATCTAACTTTCTTTGGGTTTGTATTTAGTTATGCTAAATAATGACTTTTAGTGGTGAGTTTTACTTTACAGAAAGATTGTCATGAGTAGATGACAAATCCTGGTTCAACTTGTTCTTCTAAATTGCATGCTGAGACCATGTGAGTGAACGTCCTTACTGGCATCACACCTGATCTTCTTTTTCCAGGTGTAGCTGTCTGATGCTTGGATCTTGTGATATAAGGGAGATTGAGCCAAGCACCAAACATTTTGTTGTGATAATCAGAATTTTTGGTAATCAGAATTTTGAGGCTTTGATGTTTAGGCTTTTACCTTAAGAGGCCAATTGATCAGTGATTAGTTTCTACTTAAATTTCCAAATAATGAAGTAGCGTAATTTTACCTAATGTGAAGGTTAATAGAAAACAGCTGTCAAATTTTCATAGGTAAATGCTTTTCCGTGAATGGTAGCATTGTGTCATCAATTGTTTGAAGATAGATTCTGCTTCTGAAACGTGCATTAGAGTTGTAAAACACTTAAGAGACTGTCATTTACTGTGTACATTAAACTACTTAAAACTAAGAAGTTTTGACACTTTCTGACTGACCACCAAACACCTCACTATGTGCATTCCCTGAGGAAAGATTAATTTCAGAGGCATGAAAGTGAACTTCTCAAGTTACTTACAAATAGGAGATAATTAAGTTATCACACAGAAGAAATTAAAATATTCTGCAAATGAGCTTTTTTTACTTCACATTTAAAGGAACTGGAGGGGAAGGAGGAACAAGATGCTCTTCTATGAATAATACAGGTGTTACTAGTCTTCTGAGGTTAATAGGGAGGACTTTTTTTCTTCATAGATGACTAATAAATTCTAATAAATTCTTATTTAGGATAACAAGGCTGATGTTATTCTAAAGTACAATGCAGATGAAGCCAGAAGTCTGAAAGCATATGGGGAGCTTCCAGAACATGGTAAGAGACTTTTCACTTCAAATTGGAAGTTTTGTAGTGGACAAGAATATTCAGTCTATCTTGACTTGGTGTGAGTGCAGTCCTTAACTTCTATAAATCCCTTTTCAGCTAAAATCAATGAAACAGACACATTTGGTCCTGGAGATGATGATGAAATCCAGTTTGATGATATTGGAGATGATGATGAAGATATTGATGATGTAAGTAGTATGAATGTAGTATGTATCCTATGCTTGAAAACACCCATCTTTGGCAATAAGCTGTTTTTCCTTGTTTCGGAGCAAGTAAAATAACACGCGGGTGTTCAGAATAGCTCACCTCCTCAGGGGCTGCTTCAGGAAGTGGTGTGGACGTACGCGCGCCAGCTTTCTGTTCTCTCTCCTGTCCTGCAGTCCTCCGCTAGCTGACCTCTAAGCAAATAGTATGCCTAGTGTCATACTGTTAAAACATGCCCGGAGAGCAGCCTTGTCAGTACCCTAGGGGTGCCTAAAAGAAAATGCAGGTCGTTCGACCCCAAAGACCTGGAGTGACATAGCAGCATCCGTTCAAATGACTCTGTGTGTGTGTGTGTGTGTGTGTGTGTGTACATATCTCTGCGTGTGAGGAGTTGGGGTTACACGAGTCAACGACTGCAAACAGGGCTGTAACCGGGTGCGTTCATCCGGAAGGAGCTGAGCGCAGCCTTCAGCGCCGCTCTCCGAAGCGCGAGCTCCTTCCAACAAGCTTGTGGTGGACACCAAAGTAGATGGTACGGAAAGGTTTAGCAAACGAGCAGAATTTCCCTGCGTCCCCTGCACAGGGGGCCAGAAAGACCGGTCAGGGAGCAGGCAGGGAGGTGGGTGGGTCGGCTCTTGTGGCGGGTGGGGCAGCTGTGCCAGCTCGGTCGAGGCAGGGAGAGCCGTAAGCTGCCGATGCAAGCTACATCGGACACGTGGAATGGGTCACGGGTTACGTAGGTGTGTTGGTGAATTGCATGAACACCGCTGGGTTTCACCTTCCTGATTCCTCTCTAGTTTTCACAACCTTGCTGTCTAATAATAACAAATCCCTCAGTTATTTCTGTAGTGTTTTTAAAAAAACAAAGACCTCAATTCTCCTTTTTTTTTTTTTTTACATAAAAGTAATAAAAGGCTGCATCTTTGTAGTTAACTAAAGTTAACCATTATCCTGAATTTACAGATTGTCACAATCCATTGTGTTACTGCTTATTGCTGAGCCGTAGTAACTGACCAGGCACACTCTTAAACCTTGTAGTGGTAAAATGGTTACAATTCAAATTATATAGTAAATTGCAGAAGCGGAATCTGGTGTGAAATGTTTTCTAAGATGATGCGCTTCATTTTGCAGTTGAGAGATGAATGTGTGCTGCAGGGTCAACTGGCTGAGAGGATAAGTAGTAACTTACTGAGCCAGTGGGTTAACTTAATTGGATAGACTAAGTATATTACTATGTTCTAAGTATATTATTATGTTTTAATTCTTCATCTTTTTAGTCCTCTCTCTCACTTGAGTTGGCAGTATGACTAACTCTCTTGAAATGCTTACATTATTTTGACTTTTTGGAGGTTCTCAGTATGTGATGCTTTAGATCGAATGTTTTAAAAGTATCAAGATCTCGATGAATTTTTCTTTAGACTTTTGAAAATTGCCCTTTGAGCCTGTCAGTGGTTGAGCTTACCGAAGATTTAGCTTACTGAAGCTGGAAAGACTTTATAGTACTGCAGGCTTTTAATAATGAAGCTCTTGTAAGACGTCAGTGATAAGTAGCTGTAGGAATATTGAAATAATAGAATTTGCAAACTCGTGGATCTTTGCATGGGATAATGTATTGAAGTGAGCAGCTATGATGGTTTTTAAGCTTCTGTCAGGTATGCAATATAATATTAATATCATGCTTTAAGAAAGGAAAAGACATAAAGAGATAAAATGTGAATAACCTCTCTGAGGATCATCCTAGTCAACCTAGAATGAAGTGCGGCTTCCAAAGTCACAGTTAAGGTGAAAGACTTGGTGGAACCTTTCCTTTGTTTTATGTCAGAGGAATGGTGAGAAAACCCTTCATTTTGCCAACAAATTTGCACAGTCACTATTTAGGGAAGTTGCCCTTAAACTCGGGTTTGTTTTCATTTTTGAGAATCGAGGGCTAATTTATGTCTGTGCTGTTGTGCGTAATGATACTGGCAGAGTAGCTGACCTGCGTAACTATGGTATCGTAACGGAGGTGGGGACGGCAGAGGAGAGCAACTGTTCCCATTTTAAGAAAAGGAGATACGGGCTGAGGCAGAAACAGTACAGTACTGAGTTCAGGAGGTCTCCTGTTGAACCACAACAATAGCTTAAAGACAGAGTTGCTTGATGACAAGTGCATGTGAATTAATACACGCTGTGGTGTTTTTGCTTTTCAGATCTAATTTGGAATAGAGGTTTACATTCCGACTTTTTTTCCTCCAAGGATTGTTCTACGTTGATATTTCGATTATTTTTTGGGTGAAGTCCCTTTCTTTTAAGAAGACTGAAAATTCTTGGTAAAGAGTGTAGTTTGTTACATCAAAAGGATTTATTTTCAATGTTTGTTTTAAAGTATTTATATTTCTTTCGAAATGGATAATGCTGGATTATCACAAAGGTTCAATGAAATGCCACAAATATTTTGTCTCTTCACCAATTAGACCTTTTACCTCTGGATGTAAGTGAGATACAGTGACGTGGGCTGTAAAAGACTGCATTCTCATCACTACAATTCCAGTTAAACTTGTATTTTGAAATAAAAATTGTTTACCCTGTAATTATCATGGATTTTGATTAAATACAAATACCCAGTTCAGATTAGTACCAAATCATACTATGCAGTGTCTGTCCTTATACCCCTTGCCTTGATGTTAACTTTAAAAAGATTTTGATAATATGAAAGGAAGGCAGAAATCTGCATTTCCGTTCATAATGCCTGATGACTCTGCTTTTCATGTCTAGTAGCATGCTGCTATTTTTATACTGATTTTGATAATGAAAGACACTCATTATTTCAAAGATGTAGATTTGCCACAGTGGAGGGGTAGGGGATAAGTAAAGATAAAAAGTAAGCAGCATCTCAAATTTGCAGTTGTTGAAAACTGTCTCGGATGCCCAGCTCTCCCGTGCGGTCAGCGCGGGATCACGCTGTAGGTGCAGAAGCTGAACGCTGGGTGGCACCCGACTCACCAGGGGTACCCCGACAGGGAGCGTTGCCCGTTGGGTTTGTACTGAAAAATACGTGAAATAGTTTTTCCCCAAAGTGAATGCTTAACATTCTGGGTATGTTAAACAGTAGAATATTTTTACATTATAGAAAGGGTTATGTTAAAGAGTAGAGTTTTATTTTAATCTTAAATTCCGTACATTGTAAGGTACAACATTAAAGCTTATGTGAACTTTGAGTAACGATATAAATGAGAAAATAAATTTGTGTCAGACGTAGGAAAAGAATCTCTTCATCCAGAGTAAATCACTGGAACAAACTAATGGAAAGATTCTTCTCCACCTTCAGACTGGAGGAGTCAGTTAAGAAGCTGAATAAAGACTAACATCATCATGCAAATATTATTTTGTGGTAGCCTTAGTTTCTTTGTCTTCAATTATGTATTTAACAACTCTGAAAGCAGGTTAATGGAAAAACTTCCTTTTGTGCCATAAAAATCTGATTCTTGACACTTGTATTCGTTATACAGTCTTTTTGGTATGATGTAAAGTGACTACCCCAATAGATAAAAACAAAATGGCTTTAAATACGGAGTGGCCTCATTGCTTTATGTGACTTTGAAGGAAGAGTTCTGTGCTAGATTTGAACTGCCAGAGCTCTTGGAAAATGTCTTCTCTTTCTTTTTTCCTTCATTATAGTGTCTGTTTTCCTTACATGGATCTGGTATCTTACTCTAGGGATAACATTTTCTTAGTATTAAGTGATTTTGGCAAATGTTTCGTGGGTTCTAAATACTTGTTGTAAAAACTTGCTCAATATTGGGAAAAGATACTGCCAATGCAGCATTCTGACTCCACTGATCTTAGAGTGTTTGAATTTGCTGTGTATGCCTGTAAGGTTCAATTGTGAAGCAACATAAATGCTGTACTGTTTCAGGATAAGGTGTATGAACCATTCCCCAGCTCGCCAGTTTCCTCAGCATACCGAGCAGACTATGAGCAGCTCTGACAGTGGTTCAGAGCTCTCAAAACTGAGTTTGAGGTCCAAGTGCAGGAGGTGTCTGTTCTTTCGGTTGTGCCGGCGGAAAGGTTAATGTTTAAATTGCGGTGCAAGTTTACTGAAGATACAGATACTATGGAAATTATACTGGCCGAAACCAGCCTTGTAAAAATGAGGAGTGCGTGGTCAGCGGTAAGGTGAAATGCAAATAAATACACAGTTGTTGTAAGGAACTTGCTGCTCGGTACCAGAGTTCTCCAGTATAACAGAGACTTCAGCTGTGGGACAAAGATGAAACTCTCCTTGGTTATGGTTTGCCCTGAGGTTCCTTCCAATCTTTCTTGCTCTCAGGCTCGTGTCTGGCTCAGTCTAAACTTTGCTGCAGAGTTTTAAGGAAATTTCCTGGTTAACTATTAATTTCTTACTAATGCTCCAGCCCTACATCATCTGGCTTCTACTTGCATGCTAGGCTGTGTTGCCTTCCTCATCTTGTTTCCGCTGCTGAAGGTCCTTCCACAGCCCAATCCGGGCACCTTTATGTTGTCCCTTCTTGCTTCGGTTTTCTTTGGCAGGGGAACAGCTTGCACTAATAACTCTCTTTTCAGTGTCTCCGTGCAAAGAACAGTGGTAGAACAGCAGTTGCCAGGTAGAGGAGTGCAAGATTGCTGACTGTAAAGCAATGAAAAATGCTCCATTTCTAGATAAATTTTTAGTAATTCTTTAACTTTGGGGATTGCTGCTGGCTTTTTACCTGTAATGTAAAATTGAAAGTAGGGATTCAAAAATTAATCTCCTGCAGCTAAAGTGTGAGCATTGTATTCTTCAAGATGTTTCCTACTTTGTGGTCTCCACTGTGATGAACATTTTGAACTGTGATTTTTTTTTTTTGTTTGTTCATTGTTCCAAACCTTCTTTGTCCCTTCACCTTATAACAGGGGCAGCTGTGCATGTAGTTGGACAGCCCTGATGCCTAATTCCACCCTAATCCTTAGCAGTTACAGTCCAGACACTAATTGGAAAAAAAAGTATATGGTTAAAAAAAACCCCACCTCTCCTTACGCAGGAGGAGGAGCCGGTAACCCACAATTGTTGAGCTCTGTGCCACTTACCTGTTACTGCTGATAGGTTATATCACATGAGTGTGTGCTGTACACACTAGTAGGTGTACATGTGGTACTGTGTGCTAGTGCCGTACGTATGTATGGTACGTGCCGTACGTATATATGGTGCAGTCTACACACAGCACTTAAATTAGCGTGTACAGCCTGGGGTTGGGCTGGCGCGATGGTTGCTCTGTAATCTGGGTGGTGTCCATGGATGAAAAGGAGCTGACGACAGTTCGCTTGATGCGGTACCCAGCCATGCTGCCAGCCAGGTTCTTCGTGATGGCTGGGTGGGACTCGCCGTGTGTCTAGGCTGGGGCTGCGGCTCCCGAGGCCCTCTGCTGGTGAGGTAGGTCCTGTTTTCAGGTGAGCCGGGGCGTCGACTGTTGCCGTTGAGCAAGCTCCCACCTAAGTCATAATCATTTGCTGTTCTTGAACATGCGTATCCTGGGACTTGAATACCTGTATCGTACAGATCCCTAGCGGACTCAAGCCTAGCTTTTCATCTGTGGGCACCATGCTACGCTACAGGTAGTGTGACCGCTTCATCGGAGTGAAGACTCGAAAGTTAAAATTAAGTGCGGCCTTTTGGGAGATGTGAGGGAAGAGGTGTTACCCGAGATCATCTTCGAGTAGTCAGAGTGCATCTTTATTTGTCCCTTTAAACTTGAGGCCCGTTGCTGGCTTTTGTGAAGGCAGCTGTTGGCGATGCATTCTCATTTTGATAGGAAACAATGAACCTTCAGAATTGATTTCTCAGGCTGTGTGTGCCCTTCCCTTATGAGGGAGAAGAGGTGAGCAGGAAGGATGGCTTTCCTTTATTGTTTTTTTATCACAGCAAGCATGAGTCAGAGTTCCTAATGATTAATTCAGGTTGCTTGTGGTACATCTTGCCCATCAAATTTGATGCCAAAGATCAACTTTGTAATAATAAAATATTATCTCAACCAAATAGTGAGGCAAGCTGAAAGTAGTGAGTAGTAATTCCATCTAGGAAGTAGGTGCTAGCAGCAGGGTACCACTAGAAGCATCTAAAGACTTGTTTCTCCCTTCAAGTGCTTGTTTGCTCCTGGGCCACACTTGGGATCCAGATGTTTAATTACACCGATTATGTTTCAGACTTCCCTTTAAATGCTCAGTTGACAAAAATACTTTGAAAAAAATACATAGATGAGATCGTGTTGTCTGTCCTATGAGTTAGCTTTTCTTCGTGGTTTTTTCCAATGTGTTTTAGACAGAGAGGACACTTGCACAGCAGTTTTATTTATATTCAGGCTGTCAGGTCCAGAAAGGAAAAAACTTAATCAGAAGCTGAAAGAGACTTGGTAGCAGTTAAGGGGGCTATTATTGCATCGCGTGCCTTACAGTAAATTCTCTTTTGAAGTACCCTTACTGTATTTTGTAGGCACTCGTTCTTCCCTCTTGTAAAAGTGGGCAGCTCGTCTTTGTGTCTCTAGGCTGTGATGGTGTAGCAGTGACCCTGTGGTCACTAGCATCTATATCCCTTAACCAGCCCTGCTCTTCCTTGTGGGTAAATTAGCGAATTTTATTCCCAACCGAAGATCATCAGCAAAATGCCTTTGCGCTCTTGGCCTCTGGAGGGAGCCGGCAAGCAAACAACCAAACTGACCTTGGCAGATTAGAGCAAGCAGATTGCCTCAACTTCTTGGGGAAAGTTTCTGTCGCGGGGTTTCAGAGGCTCTGAGATGCCCCGTCTCTGCAATAAGTATTGCCAGCAAAGGAAATACTTAAGGTTTTTTTTTAAGGTTTTTGAAGTAGATCATCTTCTTCCTAAAGAACAAGCTGATTCAAGCGTGGGCTGCAGTGCAAGCCTGTCACTGGCGGCAGCATGGATACTGTTGTTCCCATCTGTAGTAAATATACCAAAGAGCAGCAGATATACTGGAGGATCCCGTGGGACACCCAGGCCTGCATGGGTTATATACGTTCCACCATCCGTGGTACCTGCTGTCAGGGAGGATTCAGCTTTGTGACAATCCTCAAGACAGTGATGAGACTCTCTGCTGTTACTGTGTTTAGTCTCTGTGCTCAGAGAGGAAAGCCAAGTGCTGCAAAGTGCTTGAGGAGACAGCTTCTGACTTACAAGGCTTTAAAACTAATTGTAGTAGACAGCGGTGGGGGGTGGGGAAGGATGCGTTAGCAAGGTTTCTGAGAAGAATTTTACTCTTTTGCTGCATGACCCAGTGCAAAGGTCTCCCATGCTCATGGCTGAAACTGGAAATGTATGCAGAAGCTACAGTGGTTAAAGCTGCAGTCCTGGAGATTCACCAAGAAGCCCAAGACTCTGAAAAGGCGTGGAAGACCTTGATGCCTTCTGAACCGATGGACAGTGACTGTCCCAGCTTGCCTTGTCAGATTGCTTCAGAATAGGTCTGGGATGTTACTCATCAACTGATGTAGTGGGTGGCTGGCCTGAGGGAGTCCTGCGACAGCTCAGTCGTAGGGACCCTTGTGTCTTGAGCAAACAACAATATGCAGCTAGATCCAAAGTTCCACTGAAAATGGCATAAGTAGCCAGTGCTAAGTAACTGTAGGGTGTGATAGACTACAAAGAGATGGATCTTCAGAGCACAGAATGGCAGGGGTTGAAAGAGACCTCTAGAGATCAGCTAGTCCAACCCCCCTGCTGAAGCAGGTTCGCCTAGAGATTGGTGATATAACTGCACAGTTCTCTGCTGCCAACTGACTGCTGCGTAGGAATCTGAATAGAAATGAAAAGGAAGAAGCCACAGATCAGTTGTTCATGTGTGTAGGGATAGGTTTCCCCTAGATTTGGTAAAGAGATTCTTAATTAAGCTCTGGAGAGGTAGTGTTTTGTCTTTTGCAGCTGTTAGCCTAACCAGAGGGACCTGCAGTATGTTATTCTCAGTGAACCTGTGGCTTATGAAATTTTTAATGGAACATTTGTTTCTTCGCACCTAAATGGCACTGGCCACTTCCAGAAAAGAAAAACTATGGGCGCATCTATTGATTTTAGTATTCGTAAAGATGTTAGATGGTTCTGCCAGCCCTGTTAACTGAAAACCTCTTAAAAGATGCCTTAAGACCAGTTGGTGTGGTTGTCCAATCTTACTGTATTCCACTTGGGCCAGAAGTAATGAGCACCTTGTATCCCACTGCGGTTCTCAGCTCCATCCCCTTAATAGCAACTTATACCACTTGCAACCTAGTAATGTGGTTTTGGACCACTACTCTTAACCAGAGTATTGGTGAGTGAGCGGAAACCCCTTCCCAAAATAGGGCACCGGTTTCACAGACGTCTTGGAAATGTGCAACAGTGTAGGGACTGTTTCACTGAGAATGTGAGTATGCCACCTGTAAGTGGAACAACTGCTGTCACTGGTGTATTGTTATACTACCACCAGCAAACGAAACAGTTGCTGAAAAGTGGAAAAAGCCAAGATTAGCTACTGCTCCTCT